GAGGAAGCGGTGACGAAGCCGACCGGCAGCAGCACTCATCTATCGTTTCCTGTTTCACATTGCAATAGCTTTCCTGACGTGTATTCCTGTTATCGTGATCTCGTTGTGCCTTATTGTAGTGGTTACTGTACTCAAATATGAAGTTTCTATTGTATCGGTGTATTGTGTGTAGACGCGTCTGAGGCCTTGTGGATATTGAGAAGGGTCGAGTGAAAGAGGACATTCGGATCCTTTACTGGTAGCAGCGAGTTGGGGCGTCATAGTACCCCCCGTTTCACCGAACCTTTTCCTCTTATTAGAAGAAGTGTCCTCCCGGGACTAGCCCGCGAGATGACCGGTATAGGCCTCTACCGGGGGGCAAGCGGATTATCAAGCGGTACGGATTCGCAGGAGCTGTCTGGCCAACTTCTCTTGCATTATGAGCTCGTTTCGTTTTGGTAATACGCCTCCCTTGCACATAGTGCGCAGTGATGTTATTCGGTGAAAATAACAGGTACCTCGCTGACAAGTGTTCTAGGGCAACGAGAAGGGATCCCACTTTATTTGCAGTATACGTAGCAGTAAATATTCTGTCGGGATCCGCGCGCAATTCTTTGTCAAGACTCGAATGTGACTCTTTTCAATTTTGAACTCTGCGAATCAAGGGATTTTGCCGCTTTCCTCTCCACTTTCCCGTCATTTTTTCTTCCCCAGCCAATGCTCTAATACCAGTTACAGTATGCCACGGCATATAGCATTTGCGATGACTCTTATCGCGCGAGCAATCTGGTGCGAGGGTGAAGCGATACTTTGTCGCAATATACACATCTGAGCACAAAGGCTGGGATTCCCATCATTTTCTAAAAACAACGTCAAGAGACATTCTCAGCACAAATGATTCAACACTTGATGGCAGAAGCTGATAAAGGGCCTTCCAGCTGGACACCAACTATATAGTGCCGCCACTCCTCCTCATTAGGCCTATCAGCTGCGCCTAGACGTTCACCCGTCATCATTCCCCCAGTTATTATCGGTGCGAAGATTGCCGAGTTGCAATCCCCCGATATCAGGGCCATCCGATACGTCAGCGAAACCCTCGCTCATGACATTTACAACCAGTCCCCTTTCGCACTCCACACACTCATGGAGAACTTCCATACCACCCATCGCCACTTGTTATCCGATGACCTATACAAAACGTTCAAACGCTTTTCCGAAGACCGGCAACGGCTTCGCGAATTCATGTTTAGTAGTCCAAACATCCAAACATCCAGGTAGCTAACAAGGAGCACAAACAACTATTCTTCTTGGAAGAACGGTCTTCCTCACAACTAAAAATTCTCACGCGTAAATTCATCAAACTTTATGCGCCCAACGTATACCTTTGTACAATTTCTACAGCGTTGAACCTCACGCGTAAACAAGGTTTTTGGAGACGAGTTGGAAACTCGTGGATCAGAATTCTGATAGACGAAGCCTCTATGGTACCTGAAGCAGCGTTGATGACGCTCATATCACGGTTCCAAGACGCACACATCACGTTAATAGGTGATCTTTACCAATTACCCCCTACGTCGGTATTTCTAATTGTCCGCTAGCTATAGCCGTCAGTTATAGATCCGTGATAGACATTGGCGAAAATCATCGTATGATACCAACTTGTGCTCTGCGAATTGTGTACCGACCACATGTCGAAATGCTGAAGCTCAATTCCGAATTTTTCTACAATGGCGAACTACGATGCGGCACACCAGTCTCCATGCGCCAAGAATCGCTTTCGCGTATTCCGATGCCCAATCCGCAAGTACCAATCGCGTTGATTGACGTACCATCCTCTTCGGTTCAATCCATCACCGGTTCACATAGTAATACCGCTGAGGCAACAGCTGCTCACGTCCTTGTTCGTTTATTACTGGCTAAGGGTTTTCGTCCTGATCAGATCATGGTCATTTGCTTGTATCGCGACCAGAAATTCGCATCATGCAGTCTGCCAATGTTACCATTTCTACTGTGGATAGTGCCCAAGGAAAAGAGAGCTCAATCGTTATCCTATGTACAACGCGAACACCATAAGAGCATCCCAAGCATTTTTCGTTCTTTAATGATTGGCGACGGCTGAACGTAGCCCTATCCCTAGCAAAACATGGAATGGATCAATAGCAGCTCTAGAGCGAACATACTTCTGGAGCGATATTTTACGGTGGTGCAGAAGTCGTAATCTGATGAGGACCTTTCACTTTTTCGACAAATCCTCCGACCCCTAATACAACCATAGCGTCCGAGGACGGACTTTGCGAAAAGGGGGAGATGTAAGGGCAGGCAAAAAACCCCTTAGGTTAAAGCTTCTTTACCAGACCAATTAGTGTCACTCTAGTATACTCTTCTCTTATACCGTATCAGGTAGCCTAGTGTAGTGACTAAGACTGTCGACGACCGTTCGATGGGCGGAGCGCGCAAGCACGAGCCAAGCGGAGAGTGGAGGAAGCGGTGACGAAGCCGACCGGCAGCAGCACTCATCTATCGTTTTCCTGTTTCACATTGCAATAGCTTTCCTGACGTGTATTCCTGTTATCGTGATCTCGTTGTGCCTTATTGTAGTGGTTACTGTACTCGAATATGAAGTTTCTATTGTATCGGTGTATTGTGCATAGACGCGTCTGAGGCCTTGTGGATATTGAGAAGGGTCGAGTGAAAGAGGACATTCGGATCCTTTACTATAGCTACAGCAACTTTTGAGGGAACGGAAATGTTGTGGAAACCCGTATATTCAGTCTACAATGATAGCACTGAATATAAAAACAGTTCACAACAACAAATTTTGGAATACATACCTCCAGAAGCGGATTTTGCTAAAGAATTACCTCATTTTGCCCAACACTAAACACCCCACAACTATTCAGAATCGCATTCAAATCAGTCCTTCTATTTTGACTAACCTGCAGCTCCAAAAATTCAACAAATTGCTCACCGCTTACGAAGAATGTTTCGTGGGAAATGAAAAATAATAAATGACAACCAGATGCATGTTCACACAAATGGCTTCCTGAAATGGAATCTGGATTTTCGAAAGGCGGACTCTGCTCTAAAATCCAGGCAATAATAGGCTGTTTCAGCTGAACAACAGCCTCGCATTACCTACAATTTTGTCTTAGGATTCAAAATAAAACTCGTCGTTCGACAACCATGTATGACATGCAACTTGTAACAAGGAACACAATCGAAACAGCGACTAATGGTGATCATTGATAAGCTTGGTGAAAAAATAGCCCCAAGGTCAGCGTGTCAGGCCCAGATGTGCATTCAATGAATGGTGACGGGGAAATCATGAAAACATGCACGACACAACAAAGCGAAACATGAAAAATACAAAAAAATGCGGAGCCAAATGAAAAAATGGATAACCAGGCGGCAGTATATCGTTCTATACTTGGCTATTATCGATCGCAACGTTGCGACCGCTTTCATTGGAAAAACGTCATTGGAGCGCGGTTGTTGGACCTATCAGCGTCCTGGGGTCTTTTCAGGAGGTTATATCTCTTTTAGGTGCGGGGCTTTTGAGGAATGGTTAGCAGCATGCTATGGAAAAGTTACTACTGTTGCGTTTTCTACCTAGTTGCAATCTGAATGTTCCCCGTTGGTGAAATATTCCGGATGGGTTTCGGATCGGCTAGGGGTAACTCGCAAGCGGGTTTTTATGCTTCACACAAGGATTGCTTCTTTCAAACGCGATTTCATCAGGATTATAATCGTCTTGAAGCCGCCCTATCTTCTCTCTTTCCGAAAAGCGGAGACTCGCTAGTTCAGGAGATATTTTTGATAGATTACCGACGCGCTACCCTCTGAACCACCCGAAAAATCGACTACTCCTGAGCCATTGTAAGGATACACCTTCGGAAACTTTGATGTTTCTCCAAAAGACATTTCCCTTCAAATGAGTGAAAGAGGAGCTCGGCTATCACTGATCGATTTGGTCCGAGTGTGCGCCGTGCATTAAGCTCCTACGCAGAGGTGGTGGAAAGGTGTAAATTCTGATTTCAGGTGCTTTTATCCATGCAAGCAGATGTTTGTTTAGGGTTTGGAAAGGACAATACGCACGAATCTGTTTGAGACGTATTATTTAGTCATCTACGTACTTACGAGTTCATGCTATTAACTGGATTTATTTATTTGTTTATTCTTGCTATATTGCTAACCGATTTTTCATGATTTTGCTGCAGTCCTATTACATCCGGGTCTTCTGCAGCTTTCCGTCCGTTCCATCAAACTTAGCAATGACACTTTTGTACTGTTTGATGCCTAGCGAGCCTACTTTTGCGATACTCCCCACGTCCCCCGCGGCCAAGTACGAACCCATTTTGGGGATTTCGCATGAAAAGAGGGCTGTTAAACGTAGCAGTTCAATCTGTAAAGAATACACTCATAATAATTTTCATTTTTTAACAACTTCCATAGCTCCACTCCCACTATCAACTGAAATGTCGAAGCATTGCCCGGCTCTGAGTGACCCTTGAGATTACGACCCCCCCCCCCCTCCTCCCCTATGGGTTTCGCACAAAGATGCTGTACCCTGTGCCGCGATGTGTATTTTTTTCCACTCACCTTTATGGTGCACATTGTAAGCAAGCGAAATAGTAAACATTCACAGCATACAAGGCAATGTGAGGAAAATATAGTTTTAAATACTAGCACTCATTAGATAACGACGTGCACTTTTACTGAAATTTCATTTCCCGGAAGCAGCGGCGTGGAGAAAATCTGTGTCATGGCTCACTGTTCACAGCACTTTCAGCATTTCAGCAAAAAAAAATCCTACGACATAGTTGAGTTTTGAGCACAGCTGGAGAACGCCCCCTTGTTTTGTTGAAATCTGAGAGCAGAACATTGTTTTAGGCCTTCTGGAATTAAGGTTTTTAAATGGCAACAGACGAATACACATCTCAAAGATAAGTTTTTATTACTACAACGTATCAACGAATCATTTACTACGTCAAACTGATGAACTAGTAGCAGCTTCCAAGTTTTCAGAGCTTCTTTACAGCCTTTCCATTCTCCCAGACGGACACCTGAAAGCGCAGTAAATAAGAGGGCATTATTGTGATCAAATAAGGCACACTTCCGCAAAAGCATAGCCACATGAAACTTTGTGAACCACCTGAACTGAAAGTGACCACATAAGCTCTACTGAAACATGCAGATTTCTACTCACATCGAAGCAGTAAAAATCTCTAGCATACACAGGAGCAACGAAAGTTGTCGGTGTATTTTGTGGACGTTGTAAGCGGTACAAAAGGGTTGACAGAAAATATTTCTTGGCTCTATTTTCCTGCTCTAAACTTCATTTGTTGACATTTATCGTGGATCTGAACAGCGCTGAATTTAGGGATTCCATAGGCAAGTGAGAGTTTCACATTGGTAGTTTGGGTATGGGGATTACTTAGATCTGATGAAAAACAAAGGTGGCACCGAAAATCATGTACTGATTAGGTAAAACAACTATGCTATGCAACTATTTTCTTTTTATTCTTTAGTTTATCCCGCCCAGCGGCACGGTCCACTCTTCTGATATGAAGACGCCACCTCTCCCGATTGAACGCCTGGTGCCCTCCCGTCCCCCCCCCCCTAGTTATTTTCCAGTCTGCATGCACCGTGTCGAGTCAGCGCTTTGAAGGATGTCTATAACTATAATACGTTCCATTGAAAAGTCAAGGATCGACTCCCTCTCAATCTCGGCATAGCGACGGTAATAATAAGACGTGTTTTCGAGCAATAAGAGATAAAAATGTTCATCCGGTCAACTTTCGGCAACACTAACTTCTTCAGAGCCTTTTTTGGAATGTCGATTTTAGTCGGCACCCCAAAAATGGAATATCCCCAAGAAGACTCTGAAGAAGGCATTGCTGCAGGAACGTTGGCCAGAAAAATTTGTAACGATTTCTGATCGCATACCAAATACTTCTCGTACCATAGAAAGTTAAACAAACAAGCCGTTCTACGAAACTCTCAACATCCAAAGGCATTGAAATCCACTCTAAAAGTCAACAAATGTTGAAATTATGAATGAGAAAATAGAACTGTTGAAACTTCTGCTTATCCAATATTGGAATCACAAATCCAGCGCGCACGTTGGTTTATATGGAAAGGACACTATCGAAAACTCCTCAAAATTAGTTCGGGACGAGAATGCGCGCACTTCAACTTGTGATTCCCTGTTGAAACTGCGGCTATCATAAGGCGCACGGGAAACATTGAAATTTAGCTGTCTACAGAAGATCAGGTACCACAAAAGTCGTGAATAAGTACCCCAGGCCTGGCTGATCACACGCCCAACCAATTTTCCAAGAAATAAACAAATAAGGCACTGTGGTACTTGACCATTTCTAAAGGTTACCGATCACGTTCCAAGCCAACTTACATTCATTTAATTTGGATGACAAAACTATCCAAAAAAGACGAATGCTAATCAGTTAGGACACCTGAAAGACAACTCATCCACATCAACAAAATCAAATAGTATTTAAAATTTGAAAATAGCTGGTGATGTTACAGCCTTTAGACACCTAGTTTTCTAAAGGACATCACTCATCCATAATAGGTAGACTATATCGTTCGAAACGACGACCATCAGCACAACCTAACGAGTTTCAAACAGACGGAATCTTGTTGTCTGGTGAAGCGACTCCCACACGATCCTCCTTGTTACTTGGAGCCCCCTAAAATTTCACTCCCGTACAATTGTGCTCAGCGTGCATATTAACTTTGTGCTCATAAAACGAATGATGGGAAAGATTGCATTATTCCTTATTTCCTTTTGAAAGCAACGTGCCCTGATGCTGTTAAGATGCAAGTTTTCCAAGCTGAGTGCACAAAAAAAGATGTTTCTGGAGCTTGAAGGCAATTTGAAGCTTGAATAAAGGCACCCATAATTGAAAATGGTGGGTAGTTGACTGGAATACGGTAATGTTAACGTTAATAGCGGTGAGGATAGGAAGGAATAACCCTTCAAAAAGCCTTGGGTAAGACCCGATGGCGGCGAAAAGACGGTTTGCTTGGACAATTTCTTACTCACTGTTATCACAGCGATATCGAGTCTGCCCTCATACTTCCTCAATCTTACCCTCGGAATGAGAAGAGCCCTGAGGAGCGATTGCATCCGTTAGAGAAGAACGTTGGGTGTGATACGGGCAGGACACTCCCTTCGATGTGGGCGCCTGGCTTGCTCGTCCTTAGCCACAAAAGTGATACGCCCTCAATGCTTGCGGACAGGACTATCTTGTAATCTTATCTTGTAACGTACTGCGATTGCGCACCAAAAATGGAACGTGCCTTCAACAGACACAAATATGGTTAGGTCCTCGGCTCACAGCTACACTACGAAAACTGGCACTCTCCTGGGAAGTTATTATTTCATTCCGTAGTGAAATATATTTCAGGGTCATGAATGTATCGATCAAAGTATAGCCAAAACCCCGAAAACTCTGTGAAATGCAAACGAGACTTACCGTCAAAGTTGCTGGCTTTGCTTCAACAGTTTTAGTAGTGCGTTTAACACATTTCCTAGTGACCTCCGCTGCAATCTGTGAAAAGCGGACATAGTTTATTCCAGCAGCCCTCCAAGCGACCATATCTGCAACAACAAACGCTATCAAAAATATACTTCCAATGCGGACTAACTGGAATTGGTATGATTTTAGCAGCTTACAAAATTAGCAATAATGGCAACGGAAATCGCGGTGGTATGGAATCTCGCGATATCGAAGAGTATGGGACATTGGGAACTCGTTGTCGACTTGTCATGACACATCAAGCAACATCTTCTCACAGACCAGTCAATGCGACATTTTGTCCGAGGGCATGCCCCAACTCGTGTTAGGCCGCGTTCATAGCTTGCGTTCGTGAAGAAATGCAGAAAGAAAAATGCAGAAGTGCGGAAAGTGCAGAAGTGCGGAATCTGCAGAAAAGCAATAGATACTTATCGACTTGAAGAAATGCAGAAATGCGAAACTGCAGAAGTGCGGAAAGTGCAGAAATGACGAAAAGCATTACATACGTATCGATTTGAAGAAATGCAGAAATGCCGAAAGTGAAGAAATGCGGAATCTGCAGAAATGCCGAAAGTGAAGAAGTGCGGAATCTGCAGAAATGCCGAAAGTGAAGAAGTGCGGAAAGTGCAGAAGTGCGGAATCTGCAGAAAAGCAATAGATACTTATCGACTTGAAGAAATGCAGAAATGCCGAAAGTGAAGAAGTGCGGAATCTGCAGAAATGCCGAAAGTGCGGAAAATCGATACGTATCGGTTGCTTTTCGCACATTCCGCCGGACTTTCGAGGCATTTCTGCATTTCTTCAAATCGATACGTATGTAATGCTTTTCGTCATTTCTGCACTTTCCGCACTTCTGCATTTTCCGCATTTCTGCATTTCTTCACGAACGCAAGCTATGAACGCGGCCTTAAGTGGAATTATGTATTAGCGGCTTCATGCCAAATTCCTAATCAATCCAGCGTACCTTCTGCCGTCAATCAGTAGCGCCCCTAACTTTGTCGACACATGAAAAATTTTAACCTAACAACAATAATCTTCAATTCTCTTCTCGGATAACCTCGAAAT